AAATAATGCTTCAATTTCAAACTTTGGGGGAGTTTTCTGATGTAAAAGTGAATATCCTTGGTGCATTAAAGACGTCAAAAGTAAACATTTTCCAACAGTTTTCAAAAAAATCGAGAAAAACAAAAAAAAAAAATGACAGAAAAACGGGAATTTTTAAGCACAACCAGTTTTTGCCCAAATAGGTTTTCTCATTTGGTTGTTATTCAAAAACGAATAATTTTAGATGCATGAAAATTGTACTGAATGTTTATATAAGTATATTCTATCCACCATGAAATTTTCAAAAATATTTGACTTAATTTGAACTATTCATAGGTATTCACTAGGTATTCAATTATCGATCATTATTCGTTTTTTTTTAATTAATATCGATAAAAATTTATTTTTTGGGTAAAAAATCTTGAAAATTTAATACAAGACTTTTAACTTATTGTTAAAATAGCAGTTGAAAAATAAAATAAATGCATAGTCACAATTTTTTTTTATAAGCATTCAAATTTTGAATTTTGACAAAATACGTAAAAATCACAAAAATTCGCAAATTGTTTTAAGCTAGAAATTCATAAAAAAATTTCTTTTTAAATCTAAGATTTAAATTTCAATACAAGATTTTTTACAAATTTTTCAATTTTTATCACAAAATAAATGTCCACCGGACATTCAAATTAAATTTTTATTAGCATTTAAATTTCAAATATTGACAAAAATTCGTCAAAACAACGAATATTTCCGAATTATTTTGTAGTTCAAAATTTATAATATTGTATGTATTTGTATCTAAGGTTATAAAATTCAACACTAAGTTTTCCATAAGTTTTGCTTCAAATAACTATAGAGAAAATGTGAAGCGTCATTATAGGAAAAATGTTTTGAGCGTTTGAGTTTTAAATTTTTATGAAACCGCGTAATGATAACGATTTATYCTCAAACCAGGTATAAGGTATTATCAATTATGATAACTACATGCAATGTTTTTGGAAAATTTGAATAACCATGCCTTATGTAAAATGCGTCCTAATTGAAAAATAAAATATTTGTTTCWAAATAGAATATATGACAATATTTAAATMCKTATAATATATCCTAGACTGACAAATCATGTCCGTTCAGAATCGTTTTTCGTATACAATGATACCTATCATTGCATTCAAAT